ATTAGAACAACCCTATCCCATGTGGTCCAGGCTCAGTGCACACTTAACTGACACATATATTTTTTCAAATGACACATTTCATGATTGGAAATTTCTTCCCAGAAGCCCAGATTCTAAGCCTGACTTGCTTGAAATGTTGGCTCCAAACCAGGCCCCCAAAGCCACTGGTCTGTGCCTCAGAATGGCCCTGGGATGTCCACACTGAGAGGGGTCCTGACTCTCCAGCAACAGCTAGACTCTGAGGAAATACAAACTCTGGCGGCCAAGCCTTTCTGGACACAGGCAAATAAACATCTCGGTCATCGTCAGGATCCCCCTTTGGAGCTCACAATTCTGGCAGGGCATGAAACCAGGAAAGGTCCCAGATGGAAACCCCTCCCTCTGCAGACATCCTTCATGGGTCACCTGGAGCAGGGCTCTGTGTCAGCCAGGTGACTCCCACTGCCCTGCCTCCCAGGAAAGTCCTCGCTCCTCTGAGCACCAGTGTCTCCTCACTGGGGTTCCACGGTGTGGCATTAGGGCCATAAGCACTGGGACGGAGCCCAAGAGTGGGAATGACTGGGGCAGCCGCCAGCACCCTGCCTGGCTCTGGAGCCCCAGTACCCCCTAGGCTCCATACTCCAGGCCAGGGAACTGAGGGACAGACCACATGTCTCCAGAGGATGCTCTTTCTGCCAGTGTCCGCTGTCCCCAGCACCCGGCTGACACCACCCACTCACTCACCCCTGAGCAAGTGGTCTTCCCTTTTCCAAATCATGTGCTGCACATCAGGGCACTTGGGTGGTTTGCTCACTGCTGCGTCCCTGTCACTTGGCACAGGCTACTGGGTGTAGGGCAGGGAAAGGATGCTCAGCACAGGGTTGTGGCCCCATGGCCATGGCCTGGAAGGTCACCTGGACCTCCCCTCCCCCATTTCTAGGGCTGAGATCAGCCTTCGGGGATCCCAGGGTCACTTTCAACTCACTCAGCCCTCTTCATTCATTCATTCTTTCATTCACTGAGCTCCAAGCACAGTCCCAGGCACTGGGACCCTGGGGGAGCAGGGGGAGGGCAGAGTAAGATGCTCTGGAAGCTGCAGGTGTGGCAACAAACAGCCTTCACTTCAGCTCAGCACCGTGTGGCTGTAAGTTCAGGAGCCCCAGCCTTACCAGGGCTTCTGGCCATAAGTCAATGACTGAATGAATAAATGCAGTCTGCACATGGTCTGAGAGCCTCGGCCTCTCAGCAGGCACATGGTGACCTGTGAGAGGCGCTGAAGGCAGGGTGGGCCTGACTCTGGGAACCCATGAAGAGCCACAGGGGGAGGGGAACCCAGGCTCCCAGGAGCCCCGTCCTTTGTCCTGGTCTGACTGGCCCTCTGTATCCAGCAAGGGAGAAGGGAACAGTCCTCCATGAATCCAGGTCAGAGCTAGAGGAACAGGCTTTGGTTCAGGGAGAGGAGGGGTAGAGGGCGAAGGGAACCCTGCTGCTAGCTGTCCCAGCTCCAAAAACCTGAGCTCCCAGGAGGCACCAGGCAGCACACTTGCCTGCAGCTATGCCCACAACACCCACTTTTTCACCTCCATATTACACTGTGGGCAACTGGGACGCCTAGGAAGCTGGAGGGGGCTGCCCGGGAGCCCCAGGTAGAATGGGGAAGCCTCTGGCTCTGACTAAGCTAAGTTCCTCTGATCTGCTCCCTCCCCCCACCCCCCAAAGCTGCCTGCTTGTCCTGGAAGGGAAGCAGGGGGCGTCCTGTGTGAGTGGCGGGGGCAATGTTCAGGCAGTCCCTCTGCTGCCCCCTACCCGGCAGGACTCTCATAATAACTTCACTAATACCACAGTGGGGGTGGGGGGACTCCAGTGAGTGAGGGGCTGCTACCCTAGCCCCTCAGTCCTCAGTGAGGTCCCCTGACCTGCCACTCTGGCCACCACTGGTCCTTCCTTCACCAGGGAACCTCCTGCGGATGTGCGAGGGTGGAGGTGGAGGGAGCCCCACTGCCTCAGAGGTGGAGACGTTCCTGGCAGGGGCAGCGGAGCCAAGAACCGCGAGTGCCCGCTCCTTCCCTGCAGCCCCAGGGTTGTGGGCTCTGGGTGCCTGAAGCAGAAGCAGGCGGCCCTGCCCCAGGGGATGGTAATCCTTGACCAATTCCATCAGCTTCGGGTCAGGCAGCACGGGGGGGCGGGGGGGGGGGCGGGTAATTTTTTACCCTGCCTGGGGCGGTCCTGGGCTCTTCTGTTTTCTTGCTTGTTCACAAGAGCTTCCTGCAATGACTGGTTTAGCAGCAGGTAAAAGGGACCTGGGGAGAGGCTATCCATTTGGTCCCCCCTGGCCAACCGATTCCCCACCCCTTACCCTCCAATGGTCTTGTCCAGAAGCAGTGAGCAGCCTGAACATTTTAAGCAGGCCATGCCCCCCATCTGAATGAAGGCATTCAGTCCCTCAATTCTCTCCCTTACGGCTCAGCTTCATAGTTCAAGGCTGATAGTTTTTTCTTTAATTTTAATCTTTTGGCCCTGCATCTTGGCATGTGGGATCTTAGCTCGATGACCAGGGATCGGCTCTGTGCCCCTGAATTGCTAGGCAGACTCTTAACCACTGGACCACCAAGGAAGTCCCCAGGCTGATCTTTAAACCCAAGGTCATGTGCCCCAGGGCCCCTCCCAGACAAGCTGGCCACCCCCTACGGCGGCATATGGAGGGGGTAGGGAGGGGTAAATTCCCTTCTAGGAGCTCAGCTGGAATCCTGTCCCCTCCTGGGGCAGTCCCATCACCCACCCTTTGCGAGATCTGGGGTGTCCGGTGGTACCACCCCGAGAGTAGGAGCCTTTTGCCTTAAAAGCTTTCTGCACGCGGGGCCTCAAAGGAACCTGAGAGAAACGCCCAGGGTGAGCAACATCCCGGCCAGAGGCTGAGCGGAGACGCCTAGGCGCCAAGCAGGACCCTCACACCTCCACCGCGCGCCCGCGGAGAGGGGAGTTCCGGGGTGAGGGCGGCGGGGGGAGATGGAGGAGATGGGGGGAGAGCGGCGATCGCTAGGAGCAACCTGGGCCCCTTCTAGTCTGTGCACGACAGCTGAACCCCACCAGCGAAAACCTGGCCCCAAAAGGTGGGCAGAACTGGGCCCCGTCGGGCGTTTTCCAGGTTCTCTCTCCCCGCCAATCCCACATCAACCCCGGGAGGGGCGCAGGAACATATGGCCACGTTGCACAGGTTGGGAAACTGAGGTACAGAGAAGCATCTCCCCGCAGCTCCTCCTCCGAGGTCACGTCTGCAGCGGGACCAAAGGCGAAATTTGGTTTCCAAACTAACGGGGTCGGGGTCGGGGCGGGGGTCGGGGTGGCGGGGGGTGGCAGGGACCAAGGTCCGGAGGAGAGGGCTTTGCAAACCTAGCGTGGATTGCTGGCAAGCCGACTGGGAGAGTCTGCTCCGGTACCGGCGGCCCGGCGGTGAGCTCGGCTCTGGGGCATCTAGGGACGCGGAGGACCGGCTCGCACCCAGAGGCTTCCGGGACTCCGAAGTCCGGAAAGCAACGCTGCTCGCCGTTTTCGTTGTTTCTAGGGCTCTGCCCGCGCGCAGCCGGAACCGGGAGCAGAAGGCGGCGGCCGCGTCCACGCGGGCAGCGTTCTGGAGCGACCACAGTGCCACCTTTGCCGGGCGGAGCTCTGCCCGCGCCGCGGGGCTAGGGTGCTCAGGGGAACGAAGTTGCTCCCCGCGTGCGCGGGCGGGCGGCCCGGGGATGCGGGCGGCGCAAGGGTCCCCTTTCCAGGCGGCGCGGGGTGAACGCGAGGTTCAGAATCCTTGTAAACTGGACGGCGGAATTCGTGAGCGGCTTTTGAAAGGCCCTGGGATGAAGAGGGAAACCGTGGGAAACCGATTCCGTTTACCGCTCTCCGAGGCCGGAGCCCGAGCCCGCGCGCGGTGACTGCAGCCGCGCGACTCAGCCGCGGAGTTCGGCCCGCTTGGCGCGCCGCGGGGAAGGAGTCGCCGGGCGCCTCCTGCACTTCCTGGGCCGCCAGTTTGGGCCGGCATTCCGGAGCCATCTCCCACCTGGCTCAAAGGAGGGAGGTCTAGCCCACAGCCTCAATCTCTTTAAAAAAAAAAGAAAAAAGAAAAAGAAAACGAAAGTCCCGGTTACACTCCTCCCAAAGCCTGGGGCAGACCCCTGCTGTGATTCCCAGGCACCTGTGTTCCTGAGCAGTGGCGCCCAGGCCAGGGCTCCAGGACCAGGCAGAAGAGTCAGCAGGCCCTCCTAGGAGGTTGCCGGTGTACAGAAGACAGCATCCCCCAGCCCCGGTTCCGAACATCTGGGGTTTGTTCAGAATCTGCTGCATGGTTCGCAATCCCCGGAAGTCTTGGTTGGAAGGGTCCGGACCCTCTCTGCAACCCACTCCAGAAGCAGGGAGTCGGTGTGGGTGCCCGGCCAGGAGGCGTCTGCTCTGAGCTGCAGACAGAGGGAACGGCTTTGGCACACGGCTTCTGAACTCGCTGGGCCAGAAATCAGGACCTGTGTCCTTCTGTCCTGTAAACTTGCCTGGGTCACAGCGAGTGCCTCTCGGTCTGGGGTAGAAAGAGGGTCAAACAGGGGCCTGAAATATCAGCCCCAGGGTCCAGGGAGGCGCCTGTGGTTCCAGCTGAGGCGCAGTGGCCGGTGTGGAGGTCCGGCTGGGAAAGAAAGGGCTCTGTGGGCTGTCTGTGCCCCCTATCCCCTTGCTGGACCAAACCCTGATCACCCCAGGCTGGAAGGCATTCAGTCCCTGAAGGGTCCCCTGCTAGGCTCCGAGACCATCTCTGTTTTCTTCTCTGTGTAGTTGGGAACCATACTGTTTGTCCCTAAGCATCTCTCGTGGTCTTCCTCCTGCTGCTGCTCAAATAGGAGCCATTCCCATTCTGGGCGGAATGTGCCCAGAGAGGGAGACCTCGGTCTCAGCCAAACGCCTGGTCCCAAGTTGGGGGTGGGGCAAGGTCTGGACCCCCTCCTGGGGCAGTTCCGGAACTCAGAGGGGAGCCGGCTTATAAACTAATGGAGCCTGCTTTTATTTCCCCAGCTACTGTTTTTCAGAGCAGGAGTCTGAGGATGAACAAAACTTGACCCGGAATCCGATGGAGCCGGGGGACTGAGTACCTGAAGCCGGTGGTCAAGTTCAGCAAGCACAGAGGGGAACCTAGCAGGGTCACTGCATCTGGTTCGTAGGCTGCCCATTCCCACCTCCCAGCCGCAGTCAGCAGAGGGGCTCTCTGGGCCTGAAGACCTCGACTGGGCAGCTGGGCATCTCTGACCCTGCACCTCCAGGCACTCAAACCTCACCATACAGACCTCCTCTCCAGAGACCAGGCCTCCACAAGTGGGCATGGGGCCCCTTCCTGGCCGAGCGAAGGGACATTCTAGCCCCGCAGTGTGGACGCTGGGAGTGCACGACGCCTTGGTCTGGGTTTCTTGGGAGCCCCAGGTCCACAGAGGCTTCTGACAGTCCTGCAGGGCTAACTTCACTTGCTCCCTTCCAAACCCAGCCTTTTCCCAAAGGACTTCAGCTGGTCTTGGGTCTCCAACCACAGTTCCTTTCTTGCTGGGAAGGCTGGGAGTGGGCTGAGCTCTGGGTTGAAGCAGAATTCTAGACTGTGGCAGAAGCTGCTGGGAAAAGTCCCCTCTCCGTGCCCTAGACCCCAGGGTTGAAGTCTGTTCCCAAACTTCATAGGGTGTAGAGCACACGGCTGCCCACACCTCATCCACCCTCTGACGATCTGACAGAGTCAGAAGTGCCCCTGAGGAGGGCACGGGGACGATGGGGATGGGTGGCACTTCTGCACCCCCAACCCCAGCGCGGGGTCCCCAAGTCCCTGCACCAGCCGTAAGAATCCCCAAAGCTTAGCTCACTTTGAAAAACGGTCTTTCAACCTTTTAGTACCATTGAAATGAAAACTGCCCCTCTTCTGCCTCCCTGGCCCAGCTGGTTTCCCCAAGACTCCTAATGTCAGCAGGGAAGGGGGTAGTTGGGGGGAAAGGGGACAGGACACGGAGCTGGGTGCCGGGAGGACCTGTCTCTGATTTTCTCTGTTCCACCCCGTCACTCCCCAGTACTCTCCCTGAAGCCTGACCTGCTTGCTCTTGGTCAGGTCTAAGTCTCACCACGCGGGGGCAGGGCCTGGCCAGGCCAGGGCCATGGCCTTGGGGACAGCCTGCCGGGGCTTCTTTAGTTGACGAGGCTGATTTGAGAGAGTGCCCTGGGGGTGTCAGTACCTCAGCTGTCTTCCTGGCCACCCCTGATCACTAGCTTACCCCTCCCCAGGCAGGCTCTGAGCTGAGCCCCTCCCCACCCTCCAGGGCCCTGGGGGACCACAGGAAAGAGACAAGGGCACCAACTGGCTCTCTCTGCAGGACACCTGCCCTCCTTCCCCAGGCTGGCGAGGGTGTGATCCCAGAGTCTGAAGGGTGCTCCACAATTTTAACCACCTCCTGAGCTGAGGGAGGGAGCGTGGAGAGGTCCTGAGTGAGCTGGAGCACCCCCAGAAGGAAGCTGGGCCTTCCTGACCTCAGGTCCTGCCGGTGCCTTCCGGGTGGGAGAAACGGTGCAAAGGTGGGGATCAGGGTGGGGAAGGGACCCTCACAGCAGGTGGGGGTGTTTCATAGGAGCCATTGTAGCACCCTTGGCCTAAACGAGATGGGAGAATATGGGGTACGGAGGTATGAGGGTGACCTTGTGTTTTCTCTGGCCAGTGCCCAGCCCTGTTCTGCTCCAGCTAGAGCCTGCGGTGGTTGGGTGGGGCAGACAGTCCCAAATGAAGGACTCCAGCCACCTTTCTTCCTCTCCCAGCGACTCTTCCCCTCACACACCCCGGGCAGAGAGGCAGAGGGGAGGGCTGAGCCCGCTAGGACCTGCGGCCATGCCCTACTCCCCTGCAAGCCCCGGAGGGGCCAGTAGCAAGGCCCAGGAATCCTCTGATCCCAGCGGTTCTTTGCCCAGTCTCCAGGAAAGATGGTCAGGGTTTGGGACAGGACCGGGGGCGGGGGGCTGGGGGGGGCGGGCAGCCGAAAGGCGGTGGGCCATGAGACTGAGCTGCGGGTGAATTCCACGCTGCCACCACAGGCAACACTCACCGAGGGCTGGAAACAGTGGAGGTGGCAGCCGGTGGGCACCAGAGCCGGGCCGAGAGTGGCTTCTCCATCCTGGGCGGTGAGGGGGTTCCAGCCCCTCCAGCAGTAGGGGCTCTGTCGGGGTTGGGATCCCGGCAGGGAAGCAATTCGGACTACAGAGAGGCCAAGGCGGAAGGCCCAGCGCGCTGCCGCTGGCTTTTGACAAGCGGGGCTTCTTCAGGCTTCTCCTCTGGGGTAGCGTGGGCCATGCACCCCTTGGCATCTGGGTGTCTCTGCTAGGACTCTGGGGTCTCGGGGTAGCTCCTTGGACACTGCCAGTTCACCTCCATTTTGGCAAGGGCACGGGGCTCCGAATGTAGATCCCAGAGGAGGCCCCACTGGTCTCACTGCACAACAAAGGGGAGGGGCGCCGCCCAGACCCCCTCGGAGCAACAGAGACCCCGCACCGCTGCCCAGGACCCCTCTCCGGCTCAGGCTGACTCTGCAGGCAGTTCCAAGTCCCGGAGCCTGGCGGAACCCCGGTACTTGAAAGGGCGCAGGGATGTCAGCTCTTCCTTTTGCTTCCAATTCATTCTTGAATCCCAAACATGCTCGACAGGGCAATTCTCACCGTCCCCACCAGGGCCCTGGGTCCCGACACCCGGCCTGCGCCAGGCTTACCCCTCCGTTGCCGCACCTCCGAATTTGAGGGCTGCGGGGCAGAAGAAACACTCACCCAGTCGGCTCCCACCCGCACTCCAGCACCTGCTCCTCCACCCGCTCTCCAGCCCGAGACGCACCTGGGCCGCGAGAGGCGAGGGGGACGTGTCCCCAGAGGCTCCGGTCGCTCGAGGTGGCCCAGCTTGGGCTCTCGCGCCGCTGGGTACTCACCTAGGACCGCGGAGGCAGGAGAGCGCGGGCCTGCCCGAGGGAGGCGAGGTGCGGGGCTCCGGGCGTTGGGACGGCTGCCCGGGCGCCACCTCCCCAGTGACCCGCGCGCTGCTCCGCGCAGCTCCGCGAGAGACCGAGGGCGGCGGGTCCGAGTCCCGCCCGCCGGCCGGGGTTAGTGGCTGAGCGCGGAGCTGGCAGCGCTGCCGCTGTTGTTTTTGAGCCGCGAAGCCCGAAGCTAAAGCAGTTGGGTGGGGGCGAAGGGGAGGGGGCGGGGGCCGGGGAGGCCCGAGGGGGGCGGCCGGGCCCGAAAGAGGCTTCGGAGGAGCCGGGTTCGGGAGATCGCGGGCCAGGGGCAGGGGCGGAGGGGAGAGCCAGGAGGAAAGCTGGTTGGGACGACGGTGAACGAGAAGCTTTTTAATTAGTAATAAAATGCAATAAAACGAAGCAAAACCAGCCAGACCCGCGTCCGAACTGTCGGCGCGTTTGCCCCCAGATCCAAGGAAGTCTCGAGGACAAACGCCGCCGCCACTCCATCTTCGGCCCAGCTGGGGCGGGAGCAGCCGCGCGACGCGACGCAGGGGAGGGGGGGAGTCACCTCGCCTCCGGGGCCACCTGGGTCTTTTTAAAGTGTCCGGGGTGCGGGCCCCGGGCGGGAGCGCCGAGCACGGAATGTTTTCTTAAAGGGCCAGTTCCGAGCTGCGCGGAAAAGGGGGGGGGAGGGAGGGAGGGGGCGGGGGGGTGAGAGATAAGTGAGGTGAAGACCGGGAAGGCCGAGGAGAGCCCCCCAATCCCGCGCCGAGGCGGCGGCGGCGGCGGCGGCGGCGCGACGATGAAGACGATGAATACATTGCAAAGTTTTTTTGGCCCCGGCGAGGGGTGTCAGATTGAGTGCTCTGTGCGCATGTGCGAAGGTGTCCAAACTGACAATGCTGGGGAGATGAAGATAGTGTGTAGCTGCTTCTGGACTCAAGGAGGAGGAGAGAGGTTCCGCGAGCCGACACCATGCGATCCAAGGCGAGGGCGAGGAAGCTAGCCAAAAGTAAGTCTCCCGCGCTCGGCCGCGTCGCGCCGCCGGGCCCGGGCCGCGGGCCGGGGCGTCCGGGCCAGGGGTGCGCGTCGGGGCGCGGCCGGCGCGCCTCAGGCTCTCGGCCCCCGGATCGGCCGCGCGGCCCGGGGGCTGCTCCGCCTCCCGCGCTCCAGGGCGGCCGGGCTCGGCGCGGAGGCTCGGGGCGCCCGGGCCGCGCGCTCCCCGAAGGCGCCGGCCCCCTCCTCGCCGAACCCCCTCCCCCCCGCCCCCCCAGTGTCAGGCGCTCGGGCCCGGGAACCCGAGGCGCGCGGTGGGGGCCGGGGAGGGGGGCGGAGGGGGAGGGCTGGGGGTGGAGGGGAGCGAAAAGCGAAAGTTAGTGAAAAGTTGACGAAAGGGGAGAGCAACTTTTTCCTCCTCGCTCGCTCTCTCCCTCTCTCTCCGAGTGGCTCTCAGTCCTGGTCAAATCATATTCCGGGCTTTTGAAATAGTGGGCGCTAGAGCACCGCCTTTGGCGTCCGCCAGCCGGGCGCAGAGGAGGGAGACCCCGAGCCGGGGAGGGGGCGGAGGAGGGGGCGCGGGCCGGCGCCCACCCGGCTCCGCGGGAGGAAAGGCAGGGGTGGTGTCGGCAGGATAGCCACAGCCACTGGGAGAGCAAAATGGAGATGTTTCCCTGGGCTTGGAACTGTGGTCGTGAAGTTTATTCCCAACTGGTGACCCGTGCGGCGGCGGGCGCTTCTCTGCGACTCCGGCAGCCCGCGCGGCCGCCCCGGCGTCGGTGCCCCCGGCAGGAGGGTCCCCACCGGGCCGCCTTCCTCCCCGCTGCCACCCCGACCTCGGCCCCGCTCGGACCCTCCCTCTACCGCTCGCCTGGCACAGCCCCGAGGCCCGGCGGGGACTGAGCTGCCCCCGGCGAGACTGCCCGGTCCCCGGTCTTACTTTCTCTTTCGCTCCGTCTCGGGCCGAGCCCCGGGCTCCGCGCGCACAGCCTACCGCCGTCCCGGTCCTCGCCGCCGGCCGGGTGCGCTCGCCGCCCACCCCGCAGCCCGTCGCGGCGCCTGGGGCCGCCCGCGCACCTTCCGCGCCCCGGTCGCTGGCGCCATTCACTGCCAGGCCCACCGGTCCGGGGTTGCGGCCCGAGAGGCGGGCAGGTGGGGGCAGCGGCGCCGCGGCCCGGCGAGCGCGGCTCCCGAAGCCCGGCCGCGGCCCGGCTGCAGCGAAGCGGCGAGCGTCGCCGGGAGCTTTCTCGGCGCCTCCAGCTCTCGCCGCCCCCTCCTCTCCGGCCGTCCGCCCACTCGCTCCCCCTTGGGAAATGCCTGAGGGACCCGCTCCCCTTGGGAATCCCTGCGGGACCACCAGGACTATCAGTCGGCTCCTCCTGGGCCAGACCCTGCCCGGCCGGGCCTCGCAGCGCCCAGGGCCGAGCCCCCAAGCGTGAGCCCAGGGGGCGCGAAACTCACGGCGGTTTTCCGAAGAAGTTCTACCCTCTCGGTTCGGTGGTCGGCCGGCTCGGCCCGACAGCCCCCGCTCCACGCTCAGTCGTAGGCCGCGCGTCGGGCCCGCGGGGGAAAAGCAACTTCCAGCCTCCACAGGACGCCCCTGGACCCGCCCGCGGCCGCTCGGGCCCCTCGCTGAAGCGCGCGTTTCCAGTCTTCTGTGCCCAGTGCTCCTGGTCTCGGCCTCCCTGGCCTTCTGTGACCTCTGGCCCCTCTTGGTGCGAACGAGGCCCTGTGTTTAGTGACTGGTGCGGCTGGACTGTGTGTGTGTTACCTGCCCGCCGGCGGACGCGTGGAGTGTGCGTGTTCGTGCGTATATCGGGGTCTGTTTGTGCACCGCGAATCTTCTCAGTGACTCGGCTTCCTGGCGGCAGGCCGCCCGGGTCAGACTCCCCGAGGAAGGGCCCGAAGGTGGAATGAGAAAGTGGAAGGCGGCCGAATTCTCGCCCGGCCTTCGCTGCAAGCGAGAGGCCGGCTCCCTGAGCTCTGCGCGGCCGCGGAAAGTTCCTAGCGTCCCCCACCCGCCGGTCTGGCCCACAGTTCTCTGTGCTCCACCCCAGACAGGTGGGGAAGATTCCCGGTCTGGCTCTGCTCGGGGCCTAGAATGGATGCCTGGCATAGACCTGCAGCCTGGCTCAGCGGCGAGAGAACTGAACTCAAGGGGAGGGCAGAGCACAGAGTTCCTTTTCCTGGGAGTCCTTATGGAGAAAAACCGCAGCGCCAAGCAGGTCTGTCAGGCCCAGACCCAGATGGAGCCACACTGGTGCGAGCTCCGGGAATTCCTCCTGCCTGGGACACACAGCTAGGACAGCTGCCCCTAGCCTTCCCCAAGAAGGTGGTTCAGGCAGGCACGGGACTTCACTGCCTGCTGGACACAGAACACTGGGTCCACTGGGAAATTTCATTTCTTTGGATGATATTTTTGCCAGATGTGGACATCCTTAGGGACCTGACTCCATTACCTGAATCCCCACCGCAGCCGGGCAGTCCTAGTCCACCAACAGAACCTCCGTCTCAAAGCTACATCCTGCCAGGGTCAGGGGGCTGGGGGAGGGGAAAGAGGTCATGGTTACAGGGCCAGTGTGCTGCACTGGGCTGTGCCTGCAGTCATGTGCCAGGCATGGAAGGACAGCCAGGTTGTGGTGGTGGTGGGATGTTATGATCCCCTGATTCAGAGCTTGGGGACTGCTCCAGAGGGTGTATCCGGGGCTCTAACTTCTTTTGTGTGTCCCCAGGACCCCTCTCCAGGGGCTCTCTCCTGCTTAGTCTACGTGTTGGATGAGCTGGTAGCATCTTCGGAGTCCGCATGGGGGCTCAGAGTTGCAGGGGCAGAGGCCACTGGGGCTCTCATGCCGGGGCTACGGATCAGCTGCTGGCAGCCCTCTGTCTCAAGCTGCCTGGGAAGGCTGATCTGGGTGAGGACAGGTCTGGCAGGGTCCCCTCACACTCGGTGGGGCTTTGCTGGCCAGTGGGAAATCAGGCGTCCCTGCCCTGCATTTAAAAATGAAATGGCACACAAAAGCTTTGTGTTTCTGGCGCTGTTGAGAGCCAGGTGGGCAGGTCAGCACAGCCATCGTGCCCTCCTGACCACAGCACAGCTGGGGCACCCTGTGTGAGGGAGGATGTGCCCCCAAAACTTGTGTCCAGCCCCCATGGGAGCACCCATGAGACCTGATCCCCATGGAGGCAACAGACCCCAGAGTCGTAGATATGGTGTATTTCAGGCCTGGGAAGTTACCCTTCGAAGCTGCCAGCTACCACCTAGCCTCTGGGATGGGGGTGGGGGTGGGGGTGGGTGGGGGCTGCTACCCCTGCCACCTCCTTGGAAAGGGGTCTGTGCGACGGGGTTGGGGAGACTGGCTGCAGGCTGAGCTCCCAGCTGGTTCCTTCTCCCCAGCAGAAACAGACCAGGCTCCCGACTTGCTGGGCCCAGCCCCTCTCCCACCCTGGGGGAATCCTGCCCCTTCCACTAGTCTTCTTCCAGGAGCCGGGACAGCAGCCTCCCATCTGCACGCCTGGTAGGGCAGCAGCGCCAGGAAATGTCCAGCGGGAGTCTGGCGGCTCTCCCCGCTTCGGACGAAAATGAGGAGGCCGCGGTGGAGGGGCGGGGAGCAGGGCTGGCGGCCAAGGCCAGGTGCCCCGCGGCGGTGCGCGATGGCCCTCAGGCTCTGGCTGGCCAGGGGCCCCTCAGATGTGTCAGGGCAACGAGGCCTGCGGGAGGGGAGATGCGGCTTCATGGCGTGATCTCCCCCTGGGGCTACCTGGGGGAAGGGGAGCCGCTGGGCCCAGGGGCTGCTCAGAGCCACTGAGCCCCATCACCTCAGGCTGCTCAGGGCTGCCAGCTTCACTGCTGGCCTGGAGCAGGTGCGGGCTGAGCCTCCCCCACCCTCCAACGGCCCGAGTTCACCAGGCAGCTCCCCTCTGGGCAGAGTGTGGGGCAGGGGACCCAGTCCCTCGATTCTGTTAAGAGGCCTGGTGTGGGTGGTGGGGCCAGTCTGGGGGTCCCATCAAGGAGTGTCTTGGGGGAGGTGCGCCAGCTTGCTGGGCCTCCGTGGGCGCGATTAGTCCCCTGTTTTATTCAATTAGGAGGCAATTAGGGATCCTTGGGGGCTGGGCTAGTAATTAAGGTGCCATATAATTAGAGTTTTAACAAAAATTATCCAGGATTAAAAATCTTGTGAATAATTTCGTTAAAATATTTCAAATAGCGTTAAATACAATTTATCAGATTTTGAATCAAACCCGTGTAACAAGTCTTGGACGCTGCAGCTCACGTAGCCGGTGCGGGAGGACAAGGAACAGCCGGGGCACCGTCCCTGCGCGGCAGAGAAACTTCTGGAGGCCAAGGCAGCCTGCCCGGCCTCGCCGCGGGCGCGAACTGCGGCTGTCCCGGGCTCCAGACGGCGCGGGCCGGGGCGCGGGGCCTCAGGACCCCGGGCTGAGCCGATAGTCACCGCGGCTTGGGGTTCTCCACGCACAAAGTCGCTGCAACTACGGCGGGCGTTGCGGGGCCCGCGTCTACACGCGCCCGAAGTCGGTGGCGGTAGCTCCCCTGGTCTCAGCCCAGCCCACCTCTTCCGCGGCCTCAGTCCGGCCCCAGGGCTCTCCGCCTCCCTCGATTTCCTGGACAGAAAAGGGCGGCCTCCGCAACCCCCGCCCCTCCACCCCGACTGCTGACCCTCACCCACACTCCGCGGGCTGCAGACCGTGTGCGGTTACAAGTCGCTTCGCGGATCTGGGACCCGAGATACGTGGGAGCGCGCCCGGAAGACTAGGTCTCAGTTGGGCGGGTGCGGGAAAACCGAGGTGAGGGTGGAGGTTCGGCTTTCCAGGGGTGATCTCTGCTTTCCGCCGAACTTGGCGCTGGGCCGTGCGCTCCCGCGCGCACCTGCAGGGAGACCCCGAGCAGAGTAGGCTGCAGCCTGAGCCGCTGCCCAGATTTCTGTCGCCGCCGCAGCCTCGGGGAGACGGGCCTGTAGAGGTGCTCATGGTCCACTTGGGAGACTTCACTCATCCTCT